TTAACGACGAATGAGTCAAGCATCTAAGTGCTGATAAGATTTTCCTCTGTGAACTTGTAAGAATTGTCGCAAACATACGACAATCATAAATATATGCAGTCTCAGCATCAAAATTTCTGGAACTGCTACCTCATTTGCCAATTGGACTTGCATATAAACTCAGCTGCTCATGCGTTTGCTCCAGATATTGATGGTTGTCGTGGGGTGTTTGCTAGCTGTCGGCGAGGTCGAGGCGCTGTTATTATGCAGAATTGAGGTTTAATGAACAAGACCTGGAAGTGCTAGACAGGGAGACACTTGCCGGATTCATCGCGTCAGGAAAAACAGTCAAAAGTTTCTACGATGGTAGTGTTGACCTTTTGCAATGGACTAATACTGATGAATGTCGTTTGGCTTTAAGCTATTGGAATCATTTGAATACAATTGCAAAAGATGATAATCTCTCTGTCGTACAGAGAGCATATGTAAGTCTTCTTGCTGAAGGCAGCCCATTTGATGATTTATTTTGAAGACGACAAGATGTGCTTGTATCAAGGTTTAACGTATAAGCAGATGCAGAACAACATCGAGTTCGAATATCATGTAGTGTGAGGGAAACTGTGCTGACTTTTACTTTTTTTTTGCTATTAGCGAGCAACAAAGGTCTTTCATTCAAATATAACTTTCCTTTTCACTAAAATTAGGATTAAGTAGCGATAGTGAAAGCAATTTTTGCGCCGTAGTCGTGCAAACTCGAGGACAAGTCGTCAAAATCACTAGCCGCGCTGTCAAAAGTCATCAACAAGAAGAAATTGTGTGGTAGAAATGAAAAATGACACTTTTGTGTAATAGTTACAATAAAACGAAAGTTACATTACATTTTTGCAAATTTGCGACATGCACACAGAAATGTAGTGTGAAAACAAATTGTGACAATAAGACAAACACATAATTTAGAGATGGTTGAAAGATGATTTAAATACATTAATTTAGGGTGTCACGATGTATACGTACTGATGGTTCAGCACTAATGTGCGACACATTCACTCACAGGCAAGTGACGATAAATAGTAAATTTCTCACTCGTGAATGGAATGATCGGGTAAGTCTTAGGTATTTAACCAGTGAGTTGTCCACGATGAACACCTTGAGAAAAGCTCGCAGAAATTAAGCTGTAAAGCGCGGACCTCATTTCAAAATAATGATCTTTCATAAGCTATGCAAATATGTTTTTTTTGAAATTCACTTTGCTGGAATTTTAACGTGATGATGTTGCTGACAAAAAGAGATAAGTCATCCTGTTCAGAACATCAACAAATGCCACAGTGTCAGCAAAATCAGAATCGTCTTTAAGGAGTTCAAAATCAAAGACATACTTATGAGCTGCCATCACTTTGCCAGACTGGCAGGCTTGTCGAAGGCACCGACGCATGCGACGAGGGTTTATCCCGCTGACATTTTATACGCGTGCGTACAAAAATGCTTGCGCATTCATGCATGGCGAGCAACGACCCTATTGCAATTACTGACCGTACGTCGTTTTTATAGATGTGATCTCTTAGAGTGGTTTCATGTACCAGTTAATCTTTCGGTACTTAAGCTCCATTATCTTGACGTAACACCACTCGAGTGGGTAGGCACTGTACTTCAACAGGTTGAAATCACGAAAAATTATGCCAACGCGCAGCCAAACACTTAAGTAAAGCATCTTTTTGAGACTGCAAACGTCTTGCTTCCTAAAGCTTTCATTAGTGCAATACACGACACATCTGATTTGTACACTGAGAGACGTCACCATTGTGGCATTTTACGCTTTTAGTCCGTGCGACGCGAAATTGCATCTGTCACAGTAACAAAGGATTACCATCCGTAAGCAATGCGATGGCGATGTCGCTATACGCTAGTTACCGATATAACTGACTTCGGGCCAAGCATGTGTACCCTGAATTTCGACCCGAGCACGCTTCGTAGCAAGTAGTTACTTGTTAGTAGCCGAAAAATATATTGGTGCCACTATCATTCAGGAAACCACAACTGCGATGACGCGACCATGTCCGTTGGTCTTGGAAGGAAAGTAAGCAAAACCTATAACAAAGGCCAAATCGTCTTAATGAAAGAAATTTTGCTGATTTCGATACAGGATGCCGTCTGGACACATAGGACGCATTCTTTTTCAGCAAGACAGGCTGTCACTTTCGCCTCAACTCAGCGACATTTAATATTCCTTGTAAAGTGGATGGCGAGGTGCCGTACCATGTAGGCGTTATTTGCCTTTTGACTTGTGCAGGACGTTTGCCGATATAAAATTGGTGAGACCAAGCCTCTTCTCTACTTTGTCTAGAATAAAGTCTTGGCCAATTCTCAATGGACTTGATCCTTCAAAAATCTGTCCATTTACCATGCTAATAAATGAAGCATCTGCAATACGGAATTCTGTCGGCACCAAAATCACATGTCATATCAACATACCATGAATACAAAAGCACACACCCGGAAATTACTTGCACGCATTTGATATGAATGACCACATCTGACTTTCCTTGCTCTCCCCGACTATGTACAAACTCACAGATAAAATAGGTTTGTGTGTATGAGCAAAGGCTAGCTTTGTCATTCGACGATTGAGTGTCATAAGCTCTTTAGACTGTCCCTAGGCTATAATGAGCAAATTCTAAGCATCTCGCTTAACGAAGTTATTGCGATGAGAGCGAGATACTTAATGCACATGATAAGCTAATAGTTTCCATCAACCTTGTCAGAAGTACTGATAAAGGTTCGATCAATCACGCTAATTTCTTCTAGTGAACCTTGATCCTCCAAAACAGTGGATGCAGCTGACATATTATAAGCATGAGAACCCGCTATTTAACAAGTCCTCCTTTCACAAAACACTTGCGCCAAGTGGGAACTTTTACTCACTCATCGCTAAAACCAGCTGCGTGCTATGTACTGCTTCCTCCGTCATGTAACGGGGTGACACGTACCCTGGTAACAAGGGTGTGTGTCACACGAGATGTGCATGGTGTGACCACCCAAAGAAGAATGCGGTACGGGACTAGGTAGCCAGTACCTATGCATGGTTTTAGATATTACTATATATATTTAGTAACTTTTAAAGTTAGGATAAATAAATAATAAAAATCAATTTTGCATTTTGAAAGGAAGACCCAAATTAGCCTTGAGTAAGGCAATAATTACTCTTGAGGTAAGCGGATTGCGATATGCTAACTCGTACTTGTTCTAAGTATAGAATGAAAGGTCGGTGACCTAAATTACGCTTCCTCAAGCGCAAAGCGACGGCAGCCCCGCTGCACTTGGTAGCACTTGCAGTCAATCTACACCTAAGTCGTTTAGACTGATCCTCTGTGAGGATGGAGCAATTTTCCTCTTTGCCCCAGGGCATACAGAACGGGCTTAACAAGCTGATGTCCTTGCTTGGCCCTGAAAGCGTGCAACACCTTGTGGCGCAAGGTCCCGAGGCAATCGGTCTAGAGGCGTTTTCAAGAACATGCGCTGCTAGAGCACCTGCAGCAGAAGATGTCTGCATCGTTTTGACGCCACCGTTAGTAACGGATGATTTTCCCCGTCCTATGCCGTTCATGGTGAGCATTAAGGTCTTCGAGGGGAAGGATGGAGAGAATATCCTGCTCTGGGTGAAAGAGGTTGAGATGGCCATTGCATACGCCATGCTCCAGACCGAGCAACAGCGCGTGGCGCCAGCCATCTCAAAGCTCGGTGGTCGGGCGCGAGGATGGACACTGACGTGCGGCACTTTGGTCGAAGCTGCGTTTCCCTTCTAGGCGGAGCAAATATTGCAGCTCTCACGAGTGTTCTCGCCGCCTAACCAGGCATATCGCGTGCGAGCGCGTTTC